CCGGAATAGTTTTATCGGGTCCATCCTACGTTGATACCAATGTATCATGCGCAATCAACGCTTGAGCAGTTGCTTTACCTCCGTAGCATGTTACTGCAATAGAATTCACAAGATATACCTAAAGCGGCTGCACTGGGTTACGAATCGATCATGCTGGACTGTAGTTTGCAAAAAGCAAGCCACCTGAATTGATACTCGGACATCTTGAAATGATATTTGATTCACCTGAGTGGCGAAAGTTACAGACGAACACTAGGGGTTGTGCGTGAAGGTGAAGACTGAATGACCCGCAATCCGAATCCAACTCATTTATCTCCCGCTATTTCTCATGTGTAACTGTGAGTTGAATACGACAATTCTAAATGTGTTCACCCACCAAAATGAAGTACAATGAGTTGAACCAAACAAATCGCTTTCTAATGTTTAACCAATAACGACAGTATTTTCAAAATTGACATAACCGAACTGGATGCAATTTAAAAGAAACACACCAACAAACGTCATGGAAGATGGCTCATCTCGAAGAGCGTATGTTGTACAAAATCCTAGGCGGCGTCCATGCGTGAGTTCGTATCCCACCGAGGCTACTGAACATTTCACAATCGACATAAGGACTTGTAAACTGACATCACAAACGTTGTCAAAGTTCTGAAGAAGCAAAGTGAACAGGTTCCGGATTAGCTGTTGTTCAATTCATGAAGGATAAGCGTCTTTCCTTATGCATAAACCTGACTCGTTAAAAGACGACAAACCTCTTCAATTAAATTAAACTTCAAACTGTGGGCTAAATTGTGTTTGGTACAGTTTGTGATGGCTGATTCGTACGCCACAAGCATAACTGTAGTGATCGTTGTAACTTCGATTGAAGTCAAATATCACCGGATTTGTTCATTCTCGTCAAGAGCATATCTGATTAACGGTCAGGAGCTTAACATTCTCAGGGGTGAACTACCAGACCCAACCTCATAGAACCCTGCATCTGGACTTAGTAACTCGCTCAAAAAGTACTTTTGTTTTTACTGGGTGATTCAGTAGGCCAGAAACACACACTGATGTTCATTTGCACTTTTAGCCGATGAAAATCTCTTCAAATGATAATGAATGATAACAACTCACAGGTCGGTTCACATCCTCTGAAATCGTTTGTATGTGGGTTTGTATAGTTTGGAAAGCCGACCGCTTTGTGTTACCATTTCGCCATTCGTAAAACATAGGTCGAAATCAGCTCACCCCAACTAGATGGGCTTTCTGATAGACCTGTATAATTGGTAACGTTTAACAGTCAAAGCATAATTCGCTTCGTGGTTTGATGGATTCAATTGAAGCAGTGACTGATTTAATGGAGACGTATTGCGTTTTCCGGTGGTTTGGCTTCATGGACGAACTGAGGATTGTACGTAATGATTGCATATGAATGATGATTAACAATTAAATTCAACATAATTTGGGAACAATAGTGTGGCGAACAAGCTCGTTCTTAGTTGCTCTTAATGATGCCATCACATTATATAATATACGATAAACATCAATAAGAGAGGGCATTCGAGAGTACGGTTTTAATATTTCAGATTCGGCTCCCAGGATATAGGTGCGACTGAAATTGATCATAGCATCAAACGTTCGAGTGGTTAAACACATGTTGGAACAAATGAAGTGGCTCAGGTGAGAATAAGTGCTTGAACGAAGTTCTTCTGGACACACACATCAAATCCATTGGATGAGTGAATTGAAGAAGGTGCGAACACACTGCACTCCTAATTGTTTCTGTCGTCAACCCTGCCGAGTGGTGTTCACGAACGCGATCGTGGTCATGTGGTCGATATCCTCAGTTTCACTGGAACTGGTCAATAAGGCTTTAAAACCTGTCATGCGCTCTTTTGGTCGGAAACACAATTTGTTTGTATATCAAATATTAAGCTTGTAACAATTGTTCAAGTTCATCCAATGGAATACCCAGATTGATGTTGTTCTTGTGAATAACTTCGCTTTCTGCGACCGATGGTTCCACTAATTAGTACATTTTTGAAAAGTGAGGTAAAGTCAAATAACCTCATCTGTTTACCTTACAGGTTTAACTCATTCAAGAAGAAGCGTGTCTCATAGACTATGTTTGGAAACTGCCAGTCTTATTGATTCCAGTAATCTGAGTAATCTATTCGTAACTGCTTGCTAAGGGGAGTTGCACATATCCAGAATAAGGATCATGGAAACATTCACTTTGTGTACTTTCGGTTGTTTATGAAATCTATACCTTTTCCCATCAAGCTTTAGACAAAACCCACATTCCTTTAGCCAAAACCAGGATTTGTCTATAGTTTCTTGGGAAACGGTGTTCTAAGGGGATCTTTCGTGAGCAGTGGTTACTATCCTCGACCTTTTAATGTATCAATATGTCAAAAACAGTGTTCACTTTAAGTGGATACGCGAAACGGTAAGCATATACCTTTTGATTTATTTCAGGGCTTCTGAATGTAAAACAATATATCATTTGAGTTACACTTGAAATTTCTACTCCTAGGAGTATCGCATGTTATACAGAAACACTGAAGCTGTACGAGAAGTGTCAACGGATTTGACTGTACGGGCTTCTCCAATCAACATGTGCTGCAGCATGCAACCCCCACACCTTCTTATTTCTTAACCAAGCTTTGCAGCATCAACATTTATAGAAAATAATTTTTCTTAAATTTGTTGACTTCAGAATATTCGGAAACTTTTGATCTGACTCACCTACTGCGGCGTGGCTAAATTTTGTGCGTTGAAGCTAAAGGACTACTGGTTTTGGCTAAAGGAATGTGGGTTTTGGCTAAAGCATGATGGGAAAAGGTGTAGAAATTGTTGTTGGGGAACTCAGCAATTGATTTGCAGGTATCCAAAGGCCAATTCCCAATAACAAAAACTGCAACCGCTCGACTGTTACCATAACACGTCGATTCATTCACTTTTGCCATACTATCTTGTTCTCTCAAAGAAAAACATCGTAAAATTCCGAACATTGTTGTATTCCATTCTATAGGGTTGGAAAACATGGTTTGACACAGAGGCTCCCGAAGAATCTCCTA